CATACCACAAAGGGTTCCTAAATGAGCTAGTATATGTAAAATATTTAGAATAAGCCTGGTATACAGTTGTAAGTAGTACTGTTAAGTTTTGCCTCACAAGAATAAATAAATAAGCAGAGACTTCGTTTCTGGAGGGTAGACATAGATCTCAAAATGTTAGTTGTGCACTCTGATCGCCTTATAAGAATTTTTAAACTCAATTTGTTTTTATTATCATTACTTTTCAATTTGACCAGAGAAAGACAGGGGGTGTGGGGATAGGTGAGAAAGCAAGCCGCCAGGTCCAGGACTTGAACTGCGGTTGACAGTGGGAATCCAGCGCCCCAACATCCACACCACCTGCCCCCTTGTAAGAATTTTTGTTAGGAAACTGTCATACTCATTCGAGCAGGGGAAAGTTGCAGGCTGAATATTCCTTATTTGAAATGCTCGGGACCGAGGTCTTGTGGATTTCAGAGCTTTTCAGATTCTGGGATATTTGCAGATACACATGAGGTATCTTGGGAATGGGATCCACAGTCAGCCATGTGAGAATCCAGTGACGTAGCCACAGTGCCATCTGCTGGTACCCTGGATCATAGTCTTAGATCCTGCGTCAGCTGGTGTACCTTACTGGGAGGAGGGTCTCAGCAGACCCTGCACGATAACCCTTCGCATCACTCTCGGAGAGGCCACAGTTGTTTCCTGAGTTTCTGCAGTATTAACCGTGTCTCTCTTCAGATGCGGTGTTCTCCAGTAATGTCACTGCCTATCCATGCCTGCGATGCAGCAGACCATTTTGTCTTGAGCACCAAAAGGCTCCGTGGTTTAATGGGAAAGCCTTGGAAGTGAGAATAAGGAGCTCCCCTTTCTTAATGGAAGACCACAGATGGGCCATTGGTCTCATTCTGTTTCTGTTTCCTTCTTTACAAATAGGGATCCTTCCTGCTTCCTACTGTGAAAAATCAAGTGATCAAATGTGTTTGAAAGTATTTGAAAATTGAAAGTGCTCCATGATGGAGGAATTAGCGATAGAAACTTAACATCATGTACACTTTTCCAGGAAAAATTTCTACTATTGAATTATTCCCAAAACTTCCTTTCAGAATCTTCCAAATTCTGTTTATGAAGTAAAATCCAGAAATGTGGCTAAGATGGAATTCATACACCTGCTTCAAAAGACAGGCCCGAGGGATGGGAAGCCACAGATGGCGGACCATCTGGCGTGGATTCTAGACACGGATGCTCCAGCCTCCCGTTGGTGCCCCCGTAATCACCGAGTGGAGTGGCCGTGCGAATTTTAGAAACAGAGCGCTGTTGGTCAGCCATGACCCACTTTGTCAGCTGAACGGAGCCAGGGTGTTTTGTTTTCTGGGGGTGTTGGAGGGGAACCAGGCACTGGCTCCTTCTGGCCGTCAGCATTCACGAGTGTGTGTTGCTCTCCTTCTAGCCCTGCTAGGTCGCAATGCCTTTAAGGAATCTAGGTCTCAGACCTTTCTCATCAAGACACCTTCATGGTAGCCATCCACGTATGAGGGTGGGGTGGGGTCTTGTGCGAGCCTTGCAAAATCTAAAGCAAAAGCCCGTCATCATTACTAGAAAAAAATTAAGCCCACGTTACACTGAGAGGTCAGTGGTCACAGCCATCTTCATGTGGAAAGGGAGCACACCCCTGAGTTGGAAAGGCACGGTCCATCCCCTGGGGGCTCCCACTAGCGCTTTAACAACCTGGAGAGAACAGTGCCTCCTGTGGGCACAGGGAGACAGGGAGAGGAGAAAGCAGACACCCCACTGGGGATTGGTCACTCCGCAGTCCCTTCCCCATCCCTCTCTCCTTTGGGATTTGGGGCACCCATGCGCGGTGGTGTTACCAAGCTGCTGGGTCTGGGCCTTCGCCACATGGTCAGCCATGTGGGTCTGGCTGCCTTAACCACCAGACCGTGGAGCCAGCCTGAGAATTGCTATCCCCGGTTCTCCTGCCACGGTCTGCCTAGTGGATTGCATCACTGCGTGTTCCAGGCCTTTGGTTAGACGTTTCAGTTGTATAACCACGTTCTATGTTTTCTGATTGTGTGACCTTAGGTGAGTTACCCTTTCTGTGTCTGTTTCCTGGTCCATAAATTGGGCATGGTGATACATACCACAAAGGGTTCCTAAATGAGCTAGTATATGTAAAATATTTAGAATAAGCCTGGTATACAGTTGTAAGTAGTACTGTTAAGTTTTGCCTCACAAGAATAAATAAATAAGCAGAGACTTCGTTTCTGGAGGGTAGACATAGATCTCAAAATGTTAGTTGTGCACTCTGATCGCCTTATAAGAATTTTTAAACTCAATTTGTTTTTATTATCATTACTTTTCAATTTGACCAGAGAAAGACAGGGGGTGTGGGGATAGGTGAGAAAGCAAGCCGCCAGGTCCAGGACTTGAACTGCGGTTGACAGTGGGAATCCAGCGCCCCAACATCCACACCACCTGCCCCCTTGTAAGAATTTTTGTTAGGAAACTGTCATACTCATTCGAGCAGGGGAAAGTTGCAGGCTGAATATTCCTTATTTGAAATGCTCGGGACCGAGGTCTTGTGGATTTCAGAGCTTTTCAGATTCTGGGATATTTGCAGATACACATGAGGTATCTTGGGAATGGGATCCACAGTCAGCCATGTGAGAATCCAGTGACGTAGCCACAGTGCCATCTGCTGGTACCCTGGATCATAGTCTTAGATCCTGCGTCAGCTGGTGTACCTTACTGGGAGGAGGGTCTCAGCAGACCCTGCACGATAACCCTTCGCATCACTCTCGGAGAGGCCACAGTTGTTTCCTGAGTTTCTGCAGTATTAACCGTGTCTCTCTTCAGATGCGGTGTTCTCCAGTAATGTCACTGCCTATCCATGCCTGCGATGCAGCAGACCATTTTGTCTTGAGCACCAAAAGGCTCCGTGGTTTAATGGGAAAGCCTTGGAAGTGAGAATAAGGAGCTCCCCTTTCTTAATGGAAGACCACAGATGGGCCATTGGTCTCATTCTGTTTCTGTTTCCTTCTTTACAAATAGGGATCCTTCCTGCTTCCTACTGTGAAAAATCAAGTGATCAAATGTGTTTGAAAGTATTTGAAAATTGAAAGTGCTCCATGATGGAGGAATTAGCGATAGAAACTTAACATCATGTACACTTTTCCAGGAAAAATTTCTACTATTGAATTATTCCCAAAACTTCCTTTCAGAATCTTCCAAATTCTGTTTATGAAGTAAAATCCAGAAATGTGGCTAAGATGGAATTCATACACCTGCTTCAAAAGACAGGCCCGTCTCACAATTCTTCCTAACGTAGATAAAAAGAAAAATTACCTTCACAGATGCTGAAAAGAGGGGTGGTTGGGAGTTTCTTTCACGTCTTAAGTGAATCTGCGTCACCCCAGCACTCAGCATCACGTCAGTGCAGCAATGCTCTGTTAAATCCAGAACAAGAGCAGCACAGTGGTTAAACAGCGCGTGGTGAGCTGGACCCTGTGAGGCTGACTGGTCAAGTCCTGGCTAAGGGGCTTGAAAAACAGGCACTGTGTGTGTGTGTGTGTGTGTGTGTGTGAGAGAGAGAGAGAGAGAGAGAGAGAGAGGAGATGAGATGAGATGAGATGAGATGGAAAAATGGGGGGGAAAGGATTACAGAACTAGTGTATAAACTTGAATCAAGAACAAGCAGTGGCATTGTTTTGGAGGTAATTAGAAAACATCTTTATTTTTATTTATTTATTTTTTATAGATTTTGCTGTAGGGTGCATGCACTTGCAAGAGAGACAGAAAGTGAGACATCATCCCCAGGGGGATGGCCACGCCTCAATCCCTTCTCCTGGGATTTTGGGCACACATGCACACACACCTGGTGTGATTTTTCGAGCCACCAGGTCTGGGGCTTGAACTGTGGTCAACCACATGGGAGTCCGATATCTTAACCACTATGCCAGCTGGCCCCTTTGAAACATTTTTTTTTGGAGAGATTTTCACTGTAGGGCGCGTGCGATCGCCAGACAGACAGAGAGAGACATAGAGACAGAAAGCGAGAAATCACCCCCCAGGGGGGATGGTCACACCGCAATCCCTTCTCCTCCATTCTCCTCTCGGGATCTTGGGCACGCACGCACATGTGCCCGGCGTGAGTTTTAAGCCACCGGGTCCGGGACACAAACCACGGTCGACTACGTGGGAGTCCAGCGACATAGCCATTACGCTAACTGCTGGTTCCCCCCTTTGAAACATTTTTAAAGGAAAGAAAATTTGATGATGTTGCCAATTTTTAAAGCTTTTTTTAAAATAATACTTTGTTTTTCTTTATGTTTGATAGGATACATGCTCATGAGAAAGAGAGACGGCAGCCCGTCCACAGGGTTTGGTCACACGCGGTTCCTTCTTCAGACCTCCAGCCTTCCAAATCCTAGCCACTCAGTCCTCCAGCCTGCCGAATCCTAGCCACTCACATGGTTCCCAGCATATTTCAGACTGACCAGGCTGGGATTCAGACCCATGGGTGCCAGGCACACGCGTGCCCACGATCTGAAGCTGGTGGGCTGGGGTTGATTGTGGCGAGAAGACCCTGTCAGGGTGCTATGTCTAAGCCTTACAGTGTTGTCCATGTGGAAATTCCTAGCTCTTCCAACGGGGTCATGATGCCTGATCACGCACCATGGGTACCGGTGGGAGAAATAAACATTTATAAAACAATACTGCCCTCGGGAGAGTAGCAGTTTTATGGACAGGCAGATCATTATTTTCCCCTTCAAAAAAGTGTTTGACTAAAGATAGTGTACTAACACGAGGCTTAAATACCGTGTGGCCTGCCCAGGGTCACACAGCGAGGTGCAGCCTTCCGGGTTTTTAGAGTCCTCACTGGGAAAATGGTAGTGGCAGGACAGCCGCCCGGGGTGGTTGTAAAGAATAAAGGCGTTAATGCGTGAAAAACGCCAAGAGCAGTGCTTGCGTCTTTTTCTGATGTCACTCAAGAAATGAGAGGGGGGAACGTCCCCTTGCTCAGCACCCTTGTCCCCATGAAGGAGATTCCTGCGGTCCCAGCTGCAGCAGATGGTCCTGTGGGAAGGGCCTGGTCAGTTGCAGAGGGCTCTGGCTGCCTGGGTTCTGGTGGAGCGGTGTTGCTGATGGTGTGCTTTGCTCCTGCAGGGCTGGTGAGCTGCACCTTCTTCCTAGCAGTGAATGGTCTGTATTCGTCCAGCGACGACGTGATCGAGTTAACTCCGTCCAATTTCAACCGAGAAGTCATTCAGAGTGATAGTTTGTGGCTTGTAGAATTCTACGCTCCATGGTAAGTGTTGTAAAATTGCAGATTATTACAGTACTGTAATTTTGGGAAAAGACTATGAAAATCCAATTTCATTATGTCATCTAGTTTACCTAACTTACTGCTTGTTTAGAAGAAGTAGAGGAGAGGGAAATAGGGAACTCCACCAAGTGTCGCGTCTATAAAAGGCCATTGAGATTGAGTCAGTAAAATTAAAGGGGGGGTGTCTAAAGTAACTATTGTCGGAAGAAAGAGAGCATCCTTATTTAAGAAGCTCTTTCCTGTGACAAGGTGAGTAGGAAGGAGGAGAAGGAAGGGGAATTTGTTTTATGAAGAGAGACTCTCGAGCAAAGTGAAGAGAAGAAGAGTTCATGGGTGGTGGGCCAACACATGGTGTGGAGGTTAAGGCGCTGGTGGATCCCACATGGCCCACTGCATGGTTCAAGTCTCGGACCTGGCAGCTGGAAAATCACACCGGATATGTGTGTGTGCACACCCAAAATCCTGAGAGAATGGAGGGGCAGGGTTTGCTGTGCGGCCATCCCTCCTGGAGGGTGATGTCTCTCTTTCCTTCTCTCTTACTCTCTGATGAGCACATGCACCCTATGGCAAAGTAAAAAAGAAAAAATTGTTTCTGGAAAAATTCTTGTAGGGTAAAGACAGACGTAGTCACCATTGAAATTAGTAGTGCACGAGATAGACAGTTACATGCTGCCAGACAGTGCTCCCTTCAACGCTGGGTCACACATGGCGTCGTTCCCGTGGGGATGAGGTGTGTGGTTAGGCTGCGCCATCCGGGTTTCTGGAAGTACACTCTGACGGTCACATGACAGACTTGTCTAGTGGTGACACTTTCTCAGAACATACCCTTGTTAAGTGGACTGTATAGTCAGATATGGTATTGCACTGCTTACGTGCAAAAAGTTAATGCCCCCCCCCCCCGAAAAAAATAGAGAAAAGCCAGTGGAAACTCGCAGGCCCCAGCCCCTGAGAGGCGCGCCCACCCCCAGCCAGCCTCGCCCCATGGTGATCTGAACGTTAAAGCCCTCTTTAGATGTGAGCAGGCCTGAAAGCTTGAGGGATATTAAACAAAATCCTTAGACTCAAATTCTCCTAACCTGGGGCCAGCAGGTGCTGTGGTAGTTGAGGCGCTGGGCTCCCATACGGCTGACCCCAGTTCAAGTCCCAGACCTGGCAGCTTGCGTGTTCTCTCTCTCTCTCTTTTCCTCTGAGGAGCATGCATGTCCTATAGCAAATTTTTAAAATAATAAGTAAGTCTTTTTAAAAAAAATTTTTCTAACTGAATGGGTGAATTTTAGGGTGTGCCTGATGGAAGCTTTTCCTTTTTGTGTAGTTCTTCCTTGGAAGCCCATGGACCTGGGTTATGAAAACTCAGCAGCAGTCCTCCCGGGCTCCTTCGGTTAACACTCTGTAGCGAGAGCCGCAGCTTAAGGAAAATTCTGTTTGTCCTCCTGTTTTTTGTGGGGTTTTTTTGTAGAGGTTTTTGCTATAGGGCGTGTACGCTCGCCAGACAGACAGAGAGAGACATAGAGACAGAAAGCGAGAAATCACCCCCCGGGGGGATGGTCACGCTGCAATCCCTTCTCCTCTATTCTCCTCTCAGGATCTTGGGCATGCACGCACACACGCCCGGCGTTAGTTTTAAGCCACCAGGTCCGGGACGCGAACCGCGGTCAACTATGTGGGAGTCCAGCGACATAGCCATTACACTAACTGGTGGTCCCTGTCCTGTTTTTTTTTAAGGCGGCCTATGTTTGTCAAGCCCAGATGCTAATTCTGTATGGGCTGGCTTATTTATATTAGTAATGATACAGATAGGAATTGTGCAAACGGTTACATTATTGCCTGCCTGTGTGTGCGGTTGTTACAATTTTGACTTTATTATTCATGGCCTGGGTAGTTTACCTTGTTCTTGGTAACTATGATACAAGAGGACATTCCTTACTCTAAAGTTATACCAGGCAGCGTAATTGGTGAGGCAGCATCTGGACCCAGTAGCTGTTTTTTTTTTTTTAAATATATTTTTGCTATAGGATATGTGTGCTTGCCAGAGACAGAGAGAGGGAGTGTCCCCGGACCCCAGCGGAATATCTACATCACAATCCTGTCTACTGTGTCCTCCTCTCAGGATTGTGGGCACGCGCATACATGTGCCAGGACTGTTTCTTAAGCCTTCAGGTCGGGGACTTGAACCACACAGTCGGTCACGTGGGATACAGCCACCTTCACCTGCACTGCATTGCTGGCCCCCAGGGTGATTACCATTATTACCTGGGCACTCTGTACTTGACACTGTTCTGGGTACGGGAATTGATTGCAGCAGGCGCTTCTAGCCTTTGTGTGCTTGGGCTCTTGGCAGTCTGGGGAAAGCCTTTGACTCCTCGTAGTCAAGACGTACGTGTACTAGTAGAGCGTGTAGAGCCAGCCGTGCCTGTGTGCCGCCCACGATGCTGGGTCCATATGGGGGTTGGGGTCTGGTTCCTGGTTGACTTTACACAGCGGGTACACGTACGTTTGCCCATGCCCGTGGCTGGCCCCTACGGCTTAGGGATGGCTTACATCCTAAGACCCTGTTGAGGGTAGCCTCTTTCTTTCTCCTGTGGAAGAAATGAATGAACATTTTAAGTTAACTAAATATGAGATCACAGAGGAAACTTAAAATGACAAAATATAGGTGTCAAACTATTAAAATAAATTTTGGTAATAACATACCACTTTTTCTAGGACAGTAAATATGAAGAGCTAGCCACAAGCCCAACAGTTACCGTAATTCCGAAATAGTGACGGGCACCCCCAGCCAGCCTCGCCCCATGGTGATCTGAACGTTAAAGCCCTCTTTAGATGTGAGCAGGCCTGAAAGCTTGAGGGATATTAAACAAAATCCTTAGACTCAAATTCTCCTAACCTGGGGCCAGCAGGTGCTGTGGTAGTTGAGGCGCTGGGCTCCCATACGGCTGACCCCAGTTCAAGTCCCAGACCTGGCAGCTTGCGTGTTCTCTCTCTCTCTCTTTTCCTCTGAGGAGCATGCATGTCCTATAGCAAATTTTTAAAATAATAAGTAAGTCTTTTTAAAAAAAATTTTTCTAACTGAATGGGTGAATTTTAGGGTGTGCCTGATGGAAGCTTTTCCTTTTTGTGTAGTTCTTCCTTGGAAGCCCATGGACCTGGGTTATGAAAACTCAGCAGCAGTCCTCCCGGGCTCCTTCGGTTAACACTCTGTAGCGAGAGCCGCAGCTTAAGGAAAATTCTGTTTGTCCTCCTGTTTTTTGTGGGGTTTTTTTGTAGAGGTTTTTGCTATAGGGCGTGTACGCTCGCCAGACAGACAGAGAGAGACATAGAGACAGAAAGCGAGAAATCACCCCCCGGGGGGATGGTCACGCTGCAATCCCTTCTCCTCTATTCTCCTCTCAGGATCTTGGGCATGCACGCACACACGCCCGGCGTTAGTTTTAAGCCACCAGGTCCGGGACGCGAACCGCGGTCAACTATGTGGGAGTCCAGCGACATAGCCATTACACTAACTGGTGGTCCCTGTCCTGTTTTTTTTTAAGGCGGCCTATGTTTGTCAAGCCCAGATGCTAATTCTGTATGGGCTGGCTTATTTATATTAGTAATGATACAGATAGGAATTGTGCAAACGGTTACATTATTGCCTGCCTGTGTGTGCGGTTGTTACAATTTTGACTTTATTATTCATGGCCTGGGTAGTTTACCTTGTTCTTGGTAACTATGATACAAGAGGACATTCCTTACTCTAAAGTTATACCAGGCAGCGTAATTGGTGAGGCAGCATCTGGACCCAGTAGCTGTTTTTTTTTTTTTTAAATATATTTTTGCTATAGGATATGTGTGCTTGCCAGAGACAGAGAGAGGGAGTGTCCCCGGACCCCAGCGGAATATCTACATCACAATCCTGTCTACTGTGTCCTCCTCTCAGGATTGTGGGCACGCGCATACATGTGCCAGGACTGTTTCTTAAGCCTTCAGGTCGGGGACTTGAACCACACAGTCGGTCACGTGGGATACAGCCACCTTCACCTGCACTGCATTGCTGGCCCCCAGGGTGATTACCATTATTACCTGGGCACTCTGTACTTGACACTGTTCTGGGTACGGGAATTGATTGCAGCAGGCGCTTCTAGCCTTTGTGTGCTTGGGCTCTTGGCAGTCTGGGGAAAGCCTTTGACTCCTCGTAGTCAAGACGTACGTGTACTAGTAGAGCGTGTAGAGCCAGCCGTGCCTGTGTGCCGCCCACGATGCTGGGTCCATATGGGGGTTGGGGTCTGGTTCCTGGTTGGCTTTACACAGCGGGTACACGTACGTGTGCCCATGACCGTGGCTGGCCCCTACGGCTTAGGGATGGCTTACATCCTAAGACCCTGTTGAGGGTAGCCTCTTTCTTTCTCCTGTGGAAGAAATGAATGAACATTTTAAGTTAACTAAATATGAGATCACAGAGGAAACTTAAAATGACAAAATATAGGTGTCAAACTATTAAAATAAATTTTGGTAATAACATACCACTTTTTCTAGGACAGTAAATATGAAGAGCTAGCCACAAGCCCAACAGTTACCGTAATTCCGAAATAGTGACGGGCATCAGAGATCTCTAAGCGGGCCAGTCTGGTGTGGTGTGTAAGCACCTGGATCCCACATGGCTGACCCTGCGGTTTGAGTCCTGGACTCGGCAGCTTGAGAAACACTGGGCACATGTGTGTGCATGCCCAAAG